ATTACTGTAGATCAAGGACTTTATGGAGTCCAGCTTTGTCCGTGTATCTGACAATGTTCCTCCTGACACAGCGTGATAATTAATCACAAAATATAGTATCAACATGAATGCTTGAAGATAGGTCATCATTTTTTGATGTTATCAAACGATATTCAAAGAGAAATATCGATAACATTTTAAACCCCAGGGACTATTTATATGATAAGACATACATCTGTGACAGTTAAAGATCATGCAATAAGTTCATCAAAATATCATATATCTTGTGGCTTAATGATTTTATGTTAGATTTTTGTTGTCCCAACTATTTCATCTAAAGCTGACTATATGTGTTATGGAGTCTTGGAGTCAATAACTTTTTGACTCTCTTTCGCATTAAAATGAGACATTTCTTTCTTCCTTATTTAAACAAAAACATGTATACATAACCATCCCACCAAAATGTACATATCATTCAAAACATACATATCGAGGAGATAAAACACACTAAACTAATACTGTATACAGGGAAATTTTCGCTCCCCCGTTTTATTTTCGCCCCTTTCGCCCTCTTCTCGATTGGGTGAATTTAAAACGGGGTGAATTAAAATTACACAGCATAATTTGTTAAACAGAACTATGACTGGGCGAATTTAAAACGGGGCAAAATTATTTGCAAGTGCAAAAGGGCGAAAATAACACGGGGCGAAATTAACCCTGTATACAGTACATGTATATAAATTCCTTCATTTTCATTCATTTATTTTTTTTTTAGGAATACAAAAACTTTTTTTAAAAAATCTTTTTAGCTTTTGTAATGTAGACTAATTAAGGACAGATGATACAAACAATTTTCTTCTTTGGAAGAGACTTAATTTCATGTCAGAAGTTGATGATTCTTTGAATTTTTTCTCCTAAGAACTGAAAAATGAAATAGACTTGGAAAATATTTCAATATAATTACAAATATGGATAAAACACACACTCAGTACAGGTTTACAGATGAGAACAAATTTTAGAATATCTGTTTTCACCTGTAAACCTTTACTGAGTGTTAGTTGTCTATATTTTTTTTATTGAAATATTACTAATATTTTCCAAGTCTATTTCATTTTCCAGTTCTTAGGAGAAAACATTTTACAAATTATACACTTTTCTAAACTTGTGACATGATATAAAGTCTTTTCCAAAGAAAAAAAAATGTATTTTCTGTCCTTAAATTGACTTCTAGAACAAAATGTTTTTGTAATCAGAAAAGCACGACTTAAAATACTTTAATACAGGAATGTTGAAATAATATAACACTGTACTCTTTCCTCATATTTTTTTTCAAAATCGAATTTGTGATTGCTTTGTATGAATTTGTTATACTATTGTGGATCTTATACGTGTAATAAAGAATATAGATCTAAATGCTTTTATCATTTTTAAACATATTAGGATATCGAGAAGAAAATACGTACGATGTGTCAGTAAGTGAACTTCTCATGAGATATAAATGCAAAGAAGGCCTTTTTCGCTCCTGGTCTATCGTTTGGCAAAATTTACATTTCAGTATAGAATGATTAAGAAATCAACTCAACTTTCAAAGAGTTATCATAGAGAAAACAAGTAGAAATTTTAACTGTAGCCTTAGCATTACTGTACATCAAGGACTTTATGGACTCAAGCTTCGTCCGTGTGTCTGACTGTTTCCCTCCTGACACAGTTTGATAATTAATCACAAAATGTAGTACCAACATCAATACTTGAAGATTTATCATCATGTTTTGATTTTTAAACGATATTCTGAGAGAAATTACATGTAAAACCAAACCCCATGGACTACATGTATTTATATGATAAGACACACATCTGTGACAGTAAAAGATCATGCAATAAGTTCATCAAAATATCATATATATATATATATATATATATATATATATATATATATATATATATATATATATATATATATATATATATATATATATATATATATATATATATATATATATATATATATATATATATATATATATATATATTATTATTATTATTATTATTATAACAGTAACTTGATCCGAAAGGTTGTATCACGTCAAGTTGACAGGCGCGGATCATCAGATCTAACGAGACGCGACGCGTCTTTTTTTATCTGAAGATCCGCGCCTGTCAACGAATGATAAATTTATTATATACCCCCTTATAACTAGCTAAATATGGCAAAATAAAACTTTAGAGATCATTTGTATAATATTTATTCATAAAACAAAGCATAATAACAATGGACTTTTTAACGCGCAAGAAAAATAACGTCATCAGTTTCAGAGAGTGGTGATATGGATTCAGAAAACCACAGTGTGCACGTGGTGATCCGGAAAGTCGGATCACGACGTCACGTGATTGCGTTAAATCTACAGTAAAACTGAGTGATACACTTTAGTTATATAATAAATCTTGTTACTTAATGATTTTATGTTAGATTTTTGTTGTCCTAACTATGCAATAAGTTTATCAAAATATCATATATCTTGTGTAAGACTGCTTAATGGAAATTACTGAAGTTACAGGAATAAAGTCAAAAATCAGGAGATGTTTCACTAAGTAGTTTCATTAACTTAACTGAACCGAAATTCAAGTGAGTTTCTCTGATCACTTGTTGTCTGTTTGTCCTCCTGTTAACTAGTTTTCATTTCAAAGCTCTTCAAAAGCATTGGACTAAATTCAACCAAACATGCTACAAAGCTTCCTTCAGTGAATGGAATTTAAGTTTATTCAAATAAACGGGCCATGTCTTTTTCAAGCTGAGCTGAACAAGAAGAGGCAGAAATGGGATTAGTGTCTAAAAAAAATTATGAACTCAAGAGATGGGCTAAGAAAGATGAAATTTGTGAAAACTTCCTTAAGAAATGAAGATTCATTTTTTTAAATTTCAAATCAAGATCCCCGGGGAAGGGGTGTATATATCCACAATAAACTATTAAAAATTACATAAGACAATTTAATTAAGAACAGCAAAGCCTTCATAAATCATTTTCATAATTAATTCTCCTTAGGTAGTAAAATTTAAGTTTGTTTGATTCTCGTTGAACCAGCAAGCCATGATAAGGCAGTTTGATAAAGAAGAATCCAAAGGTAGTGTAAATTTAAATTTGTTCGAATCTTGGCCCTGGGGGTAGAATGAAACAACAATAGGCGATCAAAATTTTACATAGGAATCTTAAGAAAAACACCTTTAGAAATATATCTGTTTAAGAGTACAAAATCTCTAATTAATCGTATTTATATGAAACCATCCCCAAGTAGTGTAGATTGAAATTTATTCAAAACATGGCCCCCGATTGTAGGATGGGGCCAAATTGGAATTTTTACATAGGAATATAAAGATAAACATTTTAAAACTTTTTCATTCAAGAAAATCACATTGTTAAGGAAGTTTTACATGGGAAGATAAATTTGAAAAAATAATCTCCTCAGGGACAGCAAATTAAACGCTGATTAGTCATTTTATCAGTTAAGCATCCTGAAGTAATGAATATTAAAATATACAAAATTAAATAAACAGTAGTTAAATACAATAAATTTCTTCACATATTTCATTTACAATTTTGACATTGAAAAAAAAATCCATTTTCCCCCTTTAAAATGTTTACATTATTGAAAGACTTTTTAATTACAGAAAAAGAGTCGCCAGAATTACCGTAAATCTGGAAATTTTTACGACGATTTTATTTTGCGAATTCGGGTCAATTCGTGCCTGATGATGTGTCGTTGAGAATTATTTTTGGTCCTCTTAGATTCACTGGGGGGATTCTGTATAACGTCATTATAAGTGTTAATTCTTTATGAGATGTTGATTAATTTTTACGTTTCAAAATTTAGCGAATGACCACTACTTTGTTTACATTATCTTAATGGTAATTTATTTTTAAGAAAAATACTTTTGCGAATGCAATAAACTCGCAAATTTGCTAAAACTTTATCTACAGCAAAAATTTCCAGATTTACGGTATTCTAGAAGTAAAAGAAATGCAAGCTACTACTGTTGATATTTTAAATGTTTTTTAAGGTACTCTGATTCTCAGTTTCTGAAAATCATGTATTGACTAATTGAAAATGCTCACAAAAATATCTCTGAATTCTCAAAGTAATGTGTTTTTACCCACAATAATTCTCAAAACTTTAATTTTATAGTTAATTATATTATATTGGGAAAATTAGTAAATCTGAAGTAAATTTTCAGGAAATGGGAATAAAAACACTAACTATGCATTTTCCAATGTAAATGATCAACAAACACATTTTAGAAATAAAAATACAAGCTTTTGAAGAAATTTTAAACATATAAAGTACTTAAAGTTTCTTCTATGTACTTCAGTTATTTTACAATGCATAGTGTATAAAGATTTTCCTATAAATGCAAAACGCCATAAATCAGTTCTAATTTCATATCATGTTAAATAAATACTGACATCTACGGTTAGATTAAAAGAACCACAATTTATATAAATATGTAATTTTAAAATGCTTTTATGAAATTTTTTTTTTTACTTTTTATAAGACCTTTTTGGGAACTTCGAAGAACCTTGAAGCAAATTGAGAGGTATAAAATGAAAATTGTTGCATGGAAAGATCAAATTTTCAAGCTTCATTTTGAGACTTTTCGAATTAAATTATAAATTAAAGAGTTATTTTCCCTGGCTGTGGATCAGACTATCTTAAAAGGCTTCAATGGATGTCTTCAGTACATGAATATTTTATATAAAGTGACTAGTATGAGTATTTTATGACCCATGGGCATTTATTTTGACAAACGTTTCACCTTTCATTGAAGTGGTAATTCAAAATCTTTCCATAAAGTCCTGCTATACCTTCATGCTAAGTATCATGAAATAGCTGGTGTATTTGATGCACTTTGATTTTAGAGAATTAAAAACGCATGAATGAGAAAGAAAATATGCAACATTTTCACAATATTATATTTATTTTTATCAAATTTGACTCTATAAACTCTTCTCTTTATTTGTTGCTCTTGGCTACTCTAAATACAGCAGAGTTCCAGCAAATCCTGAGTGTCCACTTTCATATACTTCAATGCTTTTACCAAATCCTTCATTATCTACTTTGACATGATCACCACGCTTCAGTTTCACTATCACTGTTCTGCTTGATAGCCCCCAACGTTTCTTCTCATGAATAGCCCCATACACTGTCGCTACAGTTTGTTTGTTAACCTTTATGGCAAGCCAGGTTTCAACATTGGAAAGAGTATCAACAACGAACATGTACGTTCCCGCCACTGGACACACGAATACTCCCGTTCTATCATCATATCCATTACCATCGTTTGTCAGAATCCCATAATATTTAACAGTGTGTCCTTGTCCAACAGTTAGTCGTTTGGCCTTAACATAAGCGTAGAAACTTATTCCTCGAGTTACTTTTGAAGATCCTGAAAATGTAGTTTTTAGATAAAATATATTTTAAAAAACTTTTTAAAAGTATATCAGTAAAGTGTCTACGGTTTTTATTTTTTTATTCATCGATGCTTATTACCAAATCAACTGTATTAAAAATTTCTGATTTTGGTCGTCTTTATGACATTGGCCCTACGTTGCCTGATCCTTGTTAACATTTTTTTTTTGGAAGAAAGGGGGGCTCACATAATGTTGCATTAAATATGCCTTTTGATTAGAGAATACGCTATATTGTAAATTGATCTTGAACATACTTTAGCCTTAGTGTTTATTTTTTTCTAAGTTAAATATTTTGCATGCAACAATTCATCTCTAAAATCTCTGTGCATTCTTCTTACTTTGACTTTACATTTCGTGGTTTTCTTCTTCAACTTATTTATTAACATTATTATTTATATATTTCAATTTCTGTATAAAGGTATCTCGTAGAAAATACTGTCTGACATCACCCAAATATTATTTACATTTGAAGAATCATACAGAAATCTTATTTTGACAAAGATTTTTCCGTCAATTATTTTCAATCATGTACTTATAGATTCATCTTAGAACATCTAAACATTGAATGGATAAGAAATCTTGACTTTTAAAATAAGAGGACCTTGTTTTTCCTTTATTTAGATTAACTCTTATCCCTACATGTATAATTGATTTTATTGCATTTTATAGTTCTTTCATAGGATAATATTTACATTCAGTGTAATTTTCCTAATGAAATCCATTAGAAATCCACGACGTTCAAATTTCTATAACACACGAGAAACCTTGTCACCGCGCGTTAGAATACACAGTAGGAACTATAATGTATTTCAATACTCTAGGAACACAAAAATGTCAAATGTTTTACTTCAATTTAATGGAAAAACTATAATCCTGAAAAAATAACGTAAAAATTAACGTAATGTGCGTTAAGAATTAATTTGTCAATTTTTTCCTCGCAATGTTTGTTTGCGTTATTTAACTTTGCAACGTCATTTACGGCTCTTACATTTATTAACCACAGCAGTTTTGAAGGGCGTTAAATTCACATTTAAGATTAACAAAATAACCAAATATGAAGAAGGAAAATTAGAAAATGTAAACATAAACATTGAATTCATATTTTTGGATGTCTTCGGCCCTAAAACACACCTGGCCGTGCCAACAAATTGAATACCGCACGTTAGCTTAAATGAATTAATTTTCCTAACTTTTTATTATAGCAAAGAGCAATATGATAATACTCAGATTTCTGTAATCTTTCAAATTCCATAGGACAGCGTTTTTCGACATTAAATTACAACCAAACTTAAAACTGTCAAATTGTCCTTCGTTTCTGCTTGAAATATATATTTAAGTCATGTTGAACTTTCTTATACAGTAAAAGCTTTTAAATACTCGAATATTGATTTTTTTAATGTACATCTACCTGATGTTGAGAGTTTGACCAGTTCCTTTAGAGCTGTAGAGTCCAGTGTAACTGTAGCCTTAGCATTACTGTAGATCAAGGACTTTATGGAGTCAAGCTTTGTCCGTGTGTCTAACTGTGTCCCTCCTGACACAGGGTGATAATTATTCAGCAAATGTAGTATCAACATCACTACGTGAAGATATGTCATTTTGTGTTGATTTTTTCAAACGATATTCAAAGAGAAATAGAGATAACATATAAAACCCCAGTGACTATTTATATGATACATGTAAGACATACATCTGTGACAGTTAAAGATCATGCAATAAGTTCATCAAAGTATCATATCTCTTGTAGCGTAATGATTTTTTGCTTTATATTTTTGCTGTCACAATTATTTCACCTTAAGTTTACTATCTGGGTTATGGAGTCATGGAGTCAATAACTATTTGACTATTTTTGCACAATATCGAGGAGATAAAACAACCATCATCTTTTAGTATATATAACTTTATTTTGAGATATGTGATTTTTCAAAGCAGTTTACATAATATATCCAAAAATTGAAGTGGGCGACGATTGCAGACACTATTTTCTAAAGGAAAATATGCACAGAAATGGGTCATTCTGAGGTTTTTCTGCTTTAAACTTAGAAATGTACCAAATTAATGCGGACGTCATGTTTCCAGAACGGTCCTCTTTCATGCCATATTCTTTAATAATCTATTATATCCATTTATCAAAAAACTCTTGTTAAAGCCAATTTCATAACTTTTTAAGAACATTAATTTTTTAGGGCACAATAAAGCCCAAACTGTACCTTCTTCTTTCTAATAAGTTCATTATTTTAGTCGCAACTACAATTAATCTAAGGGAAATCCGTGATAAATAATTTTCTTTTGCTATTTGGGAAAGTTTTTTTTCAGATCAATATTGATATTTTTTTTTTCATTCATAGTTTTACATGTTTTCTTACTAGACAATAAAAACAGTAAAACTGGGAGAGAAAGATTCGAAAATATACATGTAATTATTTTTACATGTTCAAGTCCTGTGAATAAAAAAGCTACAAATACAGAATATGTGCACCTTGGATGTTGTTCTCAAAAAGGAAATTTTCTCTTCAAAACAAATGACGCTGCAGGGTACTGTAAACCAACTATTATTCGCGTCATCTTTTATTCGTGATTCGTCAGTTTAAAATCAATCCGCGACGATTAATTTCCGCGACCGAGGAAACATTCTCTACAAATCCTTAGCAAAATGAATGGTTCGCGGCGATTAATATTCGCGAGTTAAAGATGGTCACAAAACTCGCGGATATTTCTCGCACGCGAATAAAAGTTGGTTTTCAGTATTATTTCCTTTGATATTTCCGATGAATGCTGTGTAAACTTATTAGACTCCTTTTTGGAGACAACTAAATGATACGCATATTAATACATGTACCATCAGGACATCATTGGGCTCTATTTTGCTTTAAGCATTTTTAATTTTTATTATTATTTTTTTTAATGTTGTATTTATTTCTACTTTTTTTAATCAAAAATTGTTTTCAGGATCAAATGAATAATTTATTTAAATTTCACATTTTTATGTACATTTGTTTATTCCATTCTATATCATAGTGAATAACTGCAAGCATGTTTTTCAGAATATATTTCTCTGCATTTATATGTTAAAAATTAAAAAAAAAAGGAAATTATTGCATTATAGGATTTTGAAGGTATATTTTTCTGGTAAAAAGGTATTAAATCAAAGAAATCATAGATGAAAAACAAATAAGTTTTTTTTATTTAATCTGGGGATTAAGGATTATTTTAAACATCAACACTACTCTATGTAAATCTTTGACCTTAGAATTCTTTATTCAATTTCGTTAGAGAAAAAAAATATATCAAGGGAATTTATTGATATCATTATAAGTCAAAAAAAAAAGAAAAAATATATTGAGGATAGAATTATTTATTTATGTGCTGACACCATATCTTAAATCTTCGAAATGATGTATTAATTATAAATAAAATGTCTGTAATCCGAGCCAAGATTTGGGGGAAATAATATTTATAATGAGCTTGTGGGGCAGTTGTTCAGCGTTTACTATGGGGTCTTAGAGAGAGGAGCTGATCTTAACTTCGCCGGACCAAAATCTTTGTGAAAGATCGATCCTATGTTGACTTTAAAATAAAATAAATATCACAGTTTCTTAAACAGAATAATCTAAAAAGGAAGCAAACAAAACACAATTACTTCAGCAAAATCCCTCAAAAATAAATACTAAAACATTCAAATAAAGTAATATGATGTTTTTTTTTTCAAATTGTATTGAAAAATAATTGTATGTATATTACGCTGAATTCTGTTGGCAAACGAGTTCCTACGCGCTTGCTGTCTTTGTGCAGGATGGGACCAATTCAACCAGTGGCTACTGACACAAAAAAATACTTTCGTGTCAGTAGCCATGCAAATGAACTCAGACTCACTGGAGAACAAAACTGATTGTTTCATGTTGACAAATAAAAGGTATATTATGGAAACAAAATACGGAATGAAAATTTAAAGTTACTTAGTTATGGAAAAAATTGGGTGACAAAAAATACTTTCAGCCACTGGCTGAATTACGGTCTCATCCGAAGGATCGGTCTTGCACATAGGATTTGAACTCGAGACGTAATGACCAGCCCTATTCTCTACAACTACATGGCAATAGTTGTAGCAACCGTCCCACATGCAGACAAGTTAGAAAATGATATAGCTAAGGATAACATTTTCGACAAAGTTATTAAATTTACAAAATAAGAGGGCGGGAAAAAATTACAAATCTTGTGACGAAAAATGGTTGTCTCAGTCGTACTCGTTCAACAATCGACTGTACGATTTATGGTATATCTTAGAAATCGCTTTGCAGTAGCATATGAAAATTTGTACACAGTTTATTAAGACAAATGACTTTCTATAAATTCAGTCAATGATTGGATTGATTGTTTCAGTGAAGGAAGGCAGTAGATTGAAATGATACTTGTTCTATTGCCCAATGAAAGTAAGTTTGAAAAGAGATGTGTTTTAATTAAGCAATTTGCTATCAAAGACCTCAAATTTACACTCTGAAAAATAGTTTAATATTTGAACAATAATATAATTTTTAAATACCTAAAATATCGTTTACTTTAGATTTTAAGCAAATTAGATATGATAAAAGGAGGCACCCATTCTTTATCCACCTTGAATAAACGTCTCTCCCGAGACAGAAGATTTGGGTTTTGATGGTCTCCATGCTTATTTTTGGAAAGAATATTCTTATCTACCCATTCTGTTGCCGAGATTTGGCCATTTCTGACAAATGAACTGTTCTTGTTATAAAGATTAACTTACATGGAAAGAAATACAAAACTCAGAAAAATCTTTCAGCTTTTGTGACAGAATGCTACGGAAGGGGTCACGTGACCGCCTATATCACGTGATTCGCGCATGTGCAGAACGGTGGTTGATGTGCATTAAATTTGGAGAGGACTAATTTAAAATATAATCAACATTGAAACCAAATATTTCTTCTTTTATGGAAGTTATTCAATTAGTTCGCGAACTTTTTGATCACCCCTCGTATTACCATCAAATTGTAAAAGGGGGTGCTCTAGCAATAATTTGCTGGAATAATTTCTCTATACGTGGTATTTTTAGATGAAAATGAATCGATAGTTGTAATTGATTTTAACAAAATCATGTCATAACCTTGTTAACATAAAAAAATGAAATGATACCTGACATTAATTTATAATCCTATTATTTATTTAAATTATCTTATACTGATACCAATCAAATATTTTATCAGATACCAAAAAAAGAAGAACCATTATAAATATTTTTTTAAAAACTCAGCTTAGTTGACTTTGTGTTAGAGCGAGATATTTGTTTGCTCAAAGAATAACATCAGATGTGACTTTAATTGTCTGGCTCGTGCACCATGTGTCAAACCCTGACTACTATTTAGGCATAGTGCACGCAAAACACAACAATATTATATGAATAGTTAACTCCTCCAAACGTAGCTTGAAGGATGCCAAAAATCGCAATATATGATGTGTAAATAAGCAAATAAAAACAAACCAGGATAAAGACTTACAACAAGAAGAGATTTGAAAAAAAAGCCATTAAGAAATGCAAAGGGCAAAATAAAAAAACAAAAACATGTATCACGTACAATAATTATACAAATGCTCATTTTTCAAGATAGAATAAAACACAGACAAGTAATAAGACCAACAATAACAGTTAAGATGAACACATCTCGACTTCAGCTACACATTTAACAAGTTCAGAATACAAGTTCGGACACATTGTGGCGTAGTGTAACGTATCCATGGAACGCAGTTTTTATTGTGGTTAGAAAATATGACGTCAAAGATGTTGTTCCGGACAAAGGAAATGTTTTGCTAAAATAAGTTAAGCATGGAAGTTATTTAGATGTTTGTGGTTTATTGAGGAAATTTATACGTTAATTTTAAGGGCAATCTTAAAAAAAATATATCTCTTTCGTGATCTATTCATCTCTATTCAAAGTAGAAAAATCTACATTTTCTACCAAATATATTTTACTTTTAATTTGTTTTGATAAAGATATGTCAAACAAGATGTTTTTGTGAAACACTATGCGCCCGGTGGCAACAAAGTTCGAAAAAAACTATTTTCAGCAGATAAGTCAAAGTCAAGGTCACAAGGTCATTGACCTTGATGTCATTTGAAGAACTTCATTAGTGGAGTATGCACACCAAATATGAAGTCTCTATCTCTCATGGTTCAAAAGTTATGGCGAAAATTTTGTAAAATCTATTTTTAGCATATAGGTCACAGTCAAGGTCACAAGGTCATTGACCTTGGTGTCATTTGAAAGAGCGTCATTGGTGGAGTAAGGATATCAAATATGTAGTCTCTATCTCTCATGGTTCAAAAGATATGGCGAAAATTCAAAAAAGCTATTTTTAGCAAATAGGTCATAGTCAAGGTCACAAGGTCATTGACCTTGGTGTCATTCAAAAGAACTTTATTGGTGGAGTATGCATACTAAATATGAAGTCTTTATCTTTCATGGTTCAAGCTGACAAGAGACAAACAGACAGGACAAAAACAATATACGCCTCGGATCTATCGATCCGGGCGCATAAAAAGTTTTTTTTTTTTCAATCATATTCTCGAAATTTTATATATATATAG